CTAGTGCCACAGGAGTCACTAAAGTTGGAACTGTTGCTTCCGCTGGGGTTGCTGATGTCGCTGCTACTGCCACTAGTGCTTCTATTGTCCTGGCCACATTCTTGTAGGCTTAGGCATCCTCCATATCCATATACCCATGAGCCTTGGCCATCAACTGGTCGTATGTGGAGCATCGCTTCTTCGCGAGTGAGTTGGCCAGCTCATTGTTCGATAGGCCGGCCACAATTGCCGACATATCAACCGCGCTTCCCGGGTCGTCAACCTCCAACCGTTTTGCTTGGAACCTCTTGAAATAGCTTCAAAGGCTCACTACAGGTTCTTGTCTCATCTGTATCAACACATGAGTAGGCAACTTCTGTTTGGTGTTGCCAAGAAGCGGTGCACAAACTTCTGACTGAGTTGCTCGAAGCTGCTGATGGACTTATTCTCCAGGGAGTTCCATCAGAGCTTATCACTTCCCGACAAGATGATGGGAAAGCACCTACAGATAACGGCTTCGGGCGCCTGCAGTATGCTCATCATATCATAGTAGTTCTGGACATGCTCTACAGGGTCTCCCTCACCCTTGTATTTCTCTACTTGAGATATCTTGAATTTCTCGCAGGTAGCATTCATGATGTCATTAGTGAGAGGAATGTTTCCGCAATGGCTTAGGCGATTGGTTGGAAAGTCCAATCATAGCTGGAGGCCACGCAGGTAGCTGAGGGGCCTAGAGCGGCATGATAATGCTGAGGAGCTCATTGAGCTCCTATGGTAGCGAGCATCGCGCCATCACGACTAAAGGTTGGGACTCTCATCAATCAATTCCATGTATTAAGAGTAAGGTCGACGAAGATTCGCTCGGCGAGTTGGCTGGCAAGGAGAAGGAGACGCGTGCTCGAATTAACTTCTTTATTGACCGGTATAAGTAGCACGCAGAAGTAGAGGCACTTTTGGCTGGGCTTCTGGTGGAGGATGAGTTGCCAAAGGTTGGTTCCTCGATGGTGGAGGAGCAACGGAGTAAGCGTGCTAAGGAGGAGGAATCCGATGGAGGAGTTTGGTGGTGAAAGCTGCAAACTACTGCTGGAAGGCTTGAATGATCCGTTGAGTGGATTCGTCAAGCTGGGATTGAGTGACATAGACCGAATGCAATACTCCGGGGATGGACTGATCAGGCTTATGCTCAGAATCAGACATGATTATTCAGAGAAGAAAGAAGGACCCATGATGGGTGCCAAACTGTTAACTTAGATATGATCATTATTGTACATTTCTTTAATATATAAATATGTCAAATATTTAATATTGTTGATGGTTGATATCAAACAGTCAATGAGAGAAGCAATTTAATTGACAGATGTCCTCTAACCCTTCGAATGTCTAGTTCGAAAGTATGTTGTTTTTCTTTACACAAGTAGAAAATCGTAAGAGGACGGGGTTAGGTTCCTCGGTTGTTTCTCCGACGATCAAGTCAGTAATTTGCTTGAGTGGAGAAGTAAATGAACTGTAGTAGTTCTTAAGCCTAGCGGGTAGAGGTAAAGATCTTTTTCCTATTGTTGAAAATAGTACCCCTATTTATAGTGGTAGTAGGGGGTAGGATGGTAACTTAGACCGAATATGTGCTGGTGGCAAAATCATCATATGCTTTACAGATGTCGGTCGATGAGTGGAGGAGAGGTCACTTTGGCATTTAATGTGAAGTGATTGAGGGCATATGGTACCGACGTGGTCCGATGTGTCATAAAGACTATTGGGAGCAGAGAAATGATGTCTCCCATTATGCATTTAATAGCATGTATTGTGAGGTGATTAGCTATCAGTGCTCAGGAGGGGACTCAAGCTTCAAGGTAGTCGTCACCTTTCTACTCGCCCGATAGAAGGTCGAGAAGTACTACCTTGTGAGTCGCTCTCGTGAGATATCGGCTAAATGGTCAGTCGAGTAGGTTGGTCAAGAAGTCGGCCTAGCTAGGGGTAGACATGTAACGCCTTTTAAGTCATCCTCGCGAGATGTCGGCATGTCGAGTCGTCCGAGATGGATCTTTGGTTATCTTGGAGTGAAGAGTTGGCTCGATTACGCATAATGTGAGATACTTATCTGCTATTGATTGGATATTACGTTTTTAGCACTAAAACGGCTAAAACAAATACTATATTACATACATTTCGTTGAACTGTTCAAATAGATTACAAGATGTACTTAGTTTTGTTGTTGTCATCCACTAATCGAAATGAGGATGATTTTTAAATTAATGATTATTTTTTGTTAATGCTTATTATTCAACATAATAATTTAATTTGAAACTCTTAATGCAAATAATCCACGAATCTAAAATTTAGTCTAAGAATCCGACCATCAATCTATGAATAAAAAACAGAAGTTCAAGAATTCTACTCACAAAAATGAAAATTTAATCCAAGAGTCCAGTGCTGTAATTGTAAAATCCGAGTCCAAGTCCTAATCCAAGAATATTGGATTCATGAACAATTGTTCGAGTCCAAATCAACGATCCGGAGCAAAAAAACGCTTCCTAGATGCAACTTTTAAATATGCTCATTTTGTAGAAAACACTTTTGATTGTTAATTTACATATAAATAACTTTTAAATAGATTTTTGTTGCAATCAACCACATAGACTCACTTTTTAATTAAATATTTTCGCTTTGCTGTAATGATTACTAGTGAAATGGCTAGTATATTAAAGATATGATCCTTAATAGAGCGTAGATCGATGGGGTCAATTGTCGAAAACATTTAACTGAAAAATGAGTTTAAGAGGTTCATCGTAACAAAAAGTTTATTCAAGATGATTTATGTATAAATTGATAACTTTCCCAAATCAATAATTGATACTTGTAAGGCTGGTCCCATGATTTTGGACCAATAATGCACAACAATTTTGTTGAATGCATTTCTTAGGTGGTTTACGTGTCATACAATTACTAGTTCGTTATCCCTCCTTCCTGTTTGCTATCTCCCAGCTGATTAACTTCGCTCTCCTCTCACCAAGAAAACCCTAACTACGTATTTCCTCCAAATCCGATAAATTTAGCCCTAATCCAAAATCTCGTGTAAATATTCTTACCCTTTGATCGCTGACGATAAAAATAAATGGATCACGAGATGGAGAACGGCCAAGATGTTCGCCAGGACGGCGGAGACGGCGAAATTGAGGGTTTTAGGTGAGATTACAGCTCAATTGAGCAAAATTTTGAAATAAATCTTTAGGAAGTTGCAATCTTTTCTATTGGGCTTGGTTTTCTTTAGCTTTGGTTGTTCTTTTTTACTTAAATCGGAGCCATTAACTTTGGCCTACCAAAACTGAGAAAGTTGAAATTTGGTAGCTTTTGAGTAAAATATTGTTAACATTAAATGATATTTCTTCTTAAGTTGAAAATGTGAAAATTTGCATGTTTCAGTACAAGGCATGAAGCATTATGCATCTTGTTATAAGTCATCCACACAAAAGATGGAGATGAAAAAGAAAAGGTCTTTTTCTTTTCATATATGCGATATTTAAAAAAAATTAATGCTGAAGTCGTCATTCCATTGATTCATCGTTTCTTATGTTATTGACCAGCAATCTCAGCATTCTCATTTAAGATGCATATTGAAACCGTGTAAAAGCCTTAATAAAAATTTTGAAATATTGCAATGCTTGCAATTCCATCTTTGTTCCCTTCCTTTCTCATATGTAAGATAAATAATGCAAATCTATCGAGTGATACAACATTGTGCATGTTTACAAGTTTTTGCATGTTCACTTCCTATTTGATAATTTTGATAAGGAACACATATTTGTTGAGTACATATAAACCAGCAAGATAATTATATAATTTTACCTTGAACTTCTCAGATGCGCCCATTGTGGTGTTAGCGCTAAGTCTACTCATATGCGTCGTGGCCCTGAAGGACGAAGAACCTTATGCAATGCATGTGGAATTGCATGGAGAAAGGTAGATAGTTGAAGCCTTCCTTGTGCTATATAAGGTATAATATATGTTTGATCTCTAACTTGTATTTCCTAATCATTGAAGATTGAGAGACTGCATTGGTAGATATCCCATGACTTTCCAGAGTGTTACTGCCCTACCCAAATTAAAATTGGGACAACTGAACTTTAGATGTCATTGATATCATAGTTTTAATATAAATTAACAATACATATGCCATGAAATGTTGTTCACAAGGTCAGTTTGCAGAAGACAATTGCAAAGGCAGACACCTATGTCTTTTTTAATATTCTATACTCCTTGAATTTGTTACACTTAGACAAAATATTTCTTTGTTTCCCCATGTAAAGTTGTAGAGAAGGAACTCAATGGTTTTCATCAAGGTTTATTAGTTTTATTTTATTCATAAACATTATTTTTCCTAAATTCTGATACTAGTTTTAATGGTCATGAAATTGTTTGTTACAAATACTAAAAACAAGTAGCATACAAAACATGGAAATGATTTTGTTAAATTGTTATGACGGAAAAAGTTATTGGTCTCTAAATTTTTGAGAGAACAAAAAATTATTAATTTTTTTGATTAATTTGTTATGAAGATGAAAAGCTACTATTTTTTTGATTTGTTATGACCATAAAAAATGTTTTTGAGAGGAGTCCTAAGCAAGGACTTTAGGTACGACCAAATCAGTCCAATTGAAATGGTGTAGGCATTGAAGAGAATGAACAAGTTTCTTTCAACAGAAAGAATTGAGATATTGTCTGGATAGAGTATATGTATCAAGCTACTATTGATTTTGCATTCTCAAATAATTAAACTTAAGAAGAAGAAAGAAAGATGAAGTGAAAAAGACGGAAAATCTACACAGTGGTTTAAGTAGAAGAGGAGGAAAAAATTTCCATCTTGTAACTGACGGACCTTTTCTTTACTTGATTTTTACTGCTCCAGATCACTTTAAGTGGGTGTGTGCGTGTGTGTGTATACATGTATTTATATCGTGCATGTGTGTATGTATATACATGTATATATGTGTATATGTGGATACATATATGTGGAATTTTTATTATATATGTATTTATATGTGTATGACTGTATGTATATGTATGTGTATGTGTATGTGTGTGTGTGTGTGTGTGTGTGTGTGTGTGTGTGTGTGTGTGTATGCTTATTCATATGAATGTATGAATATGTATACTGTATATATGCCTGTTTCACAGTTCCAGATGGTGACTTCTGTTGTTATCTATACCTTACAACTCATTTAGAGTTCATTAACAGGGAAAACTGAGAAAAATAATTGAGTCCAATGCTTCCACAGAAGATGGAAGGAACTCAGTTGTGGCGCCTGAAGTGGGCATGGAATTTGAAGATGAAAGCAAGGCATATGAATTCTACAACACATATGCTGGAATAGTTGGTTTCAGTGTGCGAAAGAGTCGGACAGTTCGTAGTGCTGGAAATGTCGTTAGATCAAAAACAATTGTATGCTCCAAACAAGGCTTTCGTGAAGATAGAAAAGGAGCAAAGGAAGTGAAAAAACCAAGGGCAGAAACAAGAATCGGTTGCCCTGCTCGTCTGGTCATTAAACTTACACCAAATGGGAAATATCATGTGGCTGAGTTTGTGCCTGATCACAACCATCAGCTTGCTCCTCCTTCAGCAACACACTTGTTAAGATCACAAAGGATATTAACTGAGGTTCAAGCTACTGAAGGGGAACTGGAGGTGGCCAATGAGTCTCTGGGTACAAATTTGGGTGGTTTCAGAAATATCAGCTTCCTTCCATCAGATTATAAAATTTCTTTGAGAACAAAGAGAATGAATTCCATGCATCCAGGAGATGCTGAATCTGTGTTCAAATACCTACAGAGTATGCAACTTGATGACCAAGCTTTCTTTTATGCCATACAGTTTGATGTGGATGATAAAATGACCAACATTTTTTGGGCAGATGCTATGTCAGTGAGGGACTTTAGCTACTTTGGTGATGTGGTTTGTTTGGATATGACATTTAAAGTCAATGGATATGGTAGACCATTTGCACCCTTTATTGGAGTAAATCATCACAAACAAGCTATAATTTTGGGTGCAGCATTGCTATATGATGAAACCGTGGAATCCTTCAAATGGTTATTTAGCACTTTTAAGATTGCAATGCATGGTAAACAACCGAAGGCTATTCTCACAGACCAATCTGTGGCATTGAGGGAAGCATTAAGTGCTGTATGGCCAGGCACAAGTCATCATCATTGTGTATGGCAAATTTATCAAAATTCTATCAGCCACCTAAGTAATATCTTTCAAAGCTCGAAAACTTTTGGAAAGGATCTTAGCAGATGTTTATACGACTACGAGGATGAAGATGAGTTTCTATTAGCATGGGAAGCAATGTTAAATAAGTATGAACTTGGAAATAGTGAATGGTTGACAAAACTTCTTGAAGACAGACAGAACTGGGCTTCTGCATATGGACAGAGAATATTTTGTGCAGACATAAATAGTACGTTGAAAAGCGAAAGCTTGTGTAGTGAGCTAAAGAAGCACTTGAACTCACAATTAGATCTTTTATCTTTCTTTAAGCATTATGAGAGGCTACTGGATGAGCAACGTTATGCAGAACTACAAGCTGATTTCCATTCCAGTCAAAGTTTTCCTAGAACGCCTCCGTCAAAGATATTGAAGCAAGCTGCCTCTATGTATACACCTATAGTATATGAAATGTTCCGGAAGGAGTTTGAGGTATTCTTGAATTCTACCTCGTATAATTGTGGTGAGAATGGGGCAATTAGTGAATACAAGATTGTTGTCAGTGAGAATCCTAAAGAACATTATGTTAGGTTTGATTCCTCTGATATGTCTGTTGCTTGCAATTGCAAAAAATTTGAGTGTGTAGGAATTCAGTGTGGCCATGTAATCAAAGTACTTGATGTTAGAAACATCAAAGAACTGCCTGAAAGTTACTTTTTGAGGAGGTGGAGGAAAAATGCCAAATCTGAGACTACATCTGCAATCCATGGTAATCTTAAGTCTACCACACTTGCCTCAGAGCATGTTCCCAATGGCAATTGATGCTCGTAAAGGTTTTAAAGCATGCTTCGGCTCAGTTGGGTATGCCTTTTACTTAAAACGATAAATTGGAAAATTTCCCCGTATGGGTGGTGTGAACTGGACATAATCCCTTTAAGATTTTAGTAGTGACACCGTACATCCTTATTTTCAGCTTCTAGTTAAATGATCATCCATTTTTTTCGTTGTATTTGTCAATTTTCCAATGTAATGATCATATAGATTTTTAATTTTGAGATAATTGTCTTACTGTATGACTACAATTTCTTCATTAAAGTTAATTTTTGACAAAATTGAAATTGAGGGATTAAAGGTCAGTTTTGAAACCTCAGGTGTTTCTTGTTAATCTTGCAAACCTTAATTTACAACAACAACAACAACTAAGCCTTTATCCCAAATGTTTGGAGTCGGCTACATGAATCCTATATTTTCATTCCATTCTATTCTGTTGCGGGTCATTTCCTCTGTTATGTTAGTCTTAATCATATTCTTCTTAATTGCTTCTGACCAAGTTATTATAGGTCGACCTTGATCTCCTAACCCTATTAACTCTAATATCATCACTTTTCCTAATCGGTGCACTAAGGGGTCTCCTTTGTACATGACCAAATCATCTTAATCTATTTTCTCTCATCGTATCCTCATTAGGCGCAACCTCTAATTTACTATGGATGCATTAATTTCTTATCCTATCTTTTAATGTATACCCACAAGACCATCGTACCATTCTCATTTCTGCTACACTCATTTTTTAAACATGTTATTTTTTAATTGCCCAACATTCTGACTCATAAAGCATAGTTGGTATTATAACCGTCCTATAGAATTTTTCCTTTAGTTTCATTGGTATTCTACGATCACATAAGACTCCCGAAGCACTCCTCCATTTCAACCATCCCGATTTGATTCGATGCACAATCTCATCCTTTATCTCACCATTATGCCTAGATTCTAAATAGCAAAAATGATTAGTTTTAGGTATTTTTTGGTCATCAATATGTACCGTAGGCTCTCTTTTTTTCCTACTATTACTAAAAATGCATTCCATATACTTTGTTTTTGTTCTACTAATTCTAAAACCTTTAGACTCGAGAGCTCGTCTCCATCTTTTTATTATACTAATCAATTATATTGGAAAATATTTTATTATCATATTTTTTTATTATACTAATCAATTATAATTTAGGAACCTCCTCTGATTTCCATTCGCTCATTTGTGCATCATTGTTCAGGTGAAATTGGTTCCAGTGTCACAGTCAAGATTATTCTTTTCAAAATCCCATGTTCAATTGTAAAGATTCATAGATTCCACGCGCAGTATTCTAGATTTGCAATTGTGATGGTAACAAGTTAAATATTTCACTCATCGTGATTCATCCTTCTGATGCTTTTCCATGGTTGATTTGACTTCTGCTTGCTCATCAGATTTTGAGGAATTTGTAGTTGACCTTGTCAGCCTTTGGTGCAAAGGAATTCAGATCAGCATGCTGAGATCTTAATGGTGCAACTTCTCTACTCTTTTAGCTAGTTCTCTAATCTTTAGCTATAAATGAAACATGATGTATATAGCTATGGGAAGCAGGATTATTGGCAAACCTAGGCTACATGCCTGATGACAAATAACTAAATACAATCATGTAAAATAATCAGATCATGGTTGCCAAACATGGCCAAGCAATCATGCCTGCATGGCTTCTTTACATACTAATGATATCAGAAAAGTGTCACATAAAAGCTATAGGTTTTTTATGGAAGATTAGACCAAACTTTATTTGTTCTTATCAACTTGAACTCAATGCTCTGTTGGTTGCTATCAACTCTCACCTTGGTAGCTAGTCAGATAGATGGACAGAATGGAGACCTAACTTTATTCATTGTGTCTATGCTGCATTTGAGTTAAAAAAAATGGAAGAATACGATTCATGTTAGGATCGGGATCCTCTCCGATTAGGTGTAATTGGAGAGTCTCCAATTATTACAATCCTTACCCTCTAATCCATTTTCAATGGCTGAGATGAAGCCATGTAGGGCTCTAAATATTACCTTGAAAATCACTATTGTCTTTAAAACCACTTTTGTGAAAATATGTGATAGTGGAATCTCTAAGTGGCTTTATCTCAGCCCTTGAAAATGGAATCGAGGGTAAGGATTGAGGTAATTGGACATTTGTCAATTACCACTTAAGTGGAGAGGATCTGAAACCTTCGTGTTACAGAACCCAAGTTGGGATAAAGGCTTTGATGTTGTTATACACTTTACCTGAAGCTTGGGAGGTTGGGTTTGAAACTTAATTGCTAACTTCATCTGTTACAGGTGATGAGCATTTCAATCTTCTTTTGGTACTGTATTCAGAAGATAGTTATTGGTAATGTATATGTATTTTGCGTGTTTTGATGTAAAAAAATTCAACTTTTCAGGACACGAGTTACATTCGAAGTTCTTCTTGTAATACTTTTGCAGCTATATTGTTTTGAAATGCATAGGAGATGCGGGAATATGCCATGGAAATCACATAACTAGAGAACCAACTGGAGATTTTTCATGAATCCATGACCATTATAGCAAAGCAAGCTTTCCAGTAAATTTTGGGTTAGTTTGGTAATCCTCCCTTAAATTGGTTTTGGCCTTAAATTGGTTTTGGCCTGAACTGGTTTAGTTCCAGAAAACCTTAATTGGAACCTTAACCGGTTTAGATCTGGACCAACTACTATCGATGGGAGAACGTACTGGTTTAAGGGCCAAACTTTGAACCTAAAAAAAACTGGTTGAATTCGCCCTGTTTTTTTTTTTTCAAACATAATTTCTAGGTGAATGGACATGGCCAGTGGTCGAGTTGACATGCAGGCCCTATATGCTGAAGAGACAATGTTTGACTTTGATCCCATGGCTAATGTTCTGAGATTGAGAGTTACAGTAATTATTGACTACCAGAATATCACGAAGGCTTTCATGCCTGCAGGAAAATGGAGGGGTGAAAAAAACAAGAAACGATGTAAAGGGACCATGAGAGGGAGGTGGTATGGTAGATTCAGAGGAATTTCATAAATGCCATGGTTATTTGTTCATGTTAATGTAATTACCTGGTAATTTTCTCCTTTTACTAGCAAAATGAGAATTGATATCACTATTGTGCTACTATAAGAAGAAAAAAGGGCAGAGATATATGACATATAGAAAGCAATTTTTAAGTTTATTATATTGTGTCTGGTATAGGAAAAGGGGCTTTTTTTTCCTACTCCAATTTGTATAGAAAACAATTTGATAGCAATTTTTAAGTTTATTATATTTTTAAGTCTTTGCTTGTCATGTGAAACCTAATGGAGGAAGTTGTTTTGTATAAAGACATGAAATTTAGAAACTTCTTTCATTTGTTCATCATCTAAAAACTATGTATGCTAAACATGAATGTTACAATAATTTCAGAAATATTCGTGAAGTTTTCTAGCTTATAAGATTAGTAGTAAAAACAATGAATGAAAATGATAAAACTTTCCGATAGATCCATCAGATCAATCTATGAAAACATGAGATCAATACGAACTCAAAATAATCTTTCAGGGCTAAATAACAGAAAAACCCCTTTAACTTTGGCGGTTTATCAGAGAACCCCGTTTAACTTTCAAATTGTTAGAAAACCCCTTTGACTTAGAGGGTTATCAAAGAAACCCCTTTAACTTTAAAATATTCCCTCACTTAATTTTATCCATCCATTTGAAAATTTGTTGTTAACTGTGTTCCTTTTTTTATACTAGGTGAATTGCTTAGATTTAGCTAAAATTGATAATTTAGTTTAACATTTCACTTTAATTTATTCATTGAATCCTTTTAAGCTAATTTGGAGTTTATATACATGTTTAAACAAACATATGATAGCCTACTAAAGACCCAAAAGGAGCGCCGCTTTTTTGCAAATCTTAGATCACTATTAAAATGATAATTATATATTAAGACTTAGTTATATTTTAACATGTAACATTGATTCATTAATTTACATTCAAGAATTTTCAGATTTTTATTTTTCAATGTACAGAAGAATATAAATGAAAACAATTTATTACACTTATTTTTAAATGAATATCTTCTCGTAAATGAGGTATCAAATTGTTAATCTTAGTATGTAGAAAGATCCTTTAACTCGGTTCCAAACCTTTTCAGTGGAAATATAAATAAAAGTGTAATTTCACAATCGACAGTTTTATTCCTCTTTATAATGGCAAGAAAGGAATTGACGCACGCATGCTCTGCATAATTTTATACAATATGACTAAAAGCAAGAACAAGAATATTAGTTTTAAACACAACTCTGCATTATAATATGCTTCTCAAGTTACCTCTCCTCCATGTTGTAGTACAGTGTCTTCAACAACATCACTTAGCATTTCAATGGACCGGCAAAAGCCAAAGATGCATAGTCTTCTTTCAGTGTCAAGACCCTGCACTAAAAATGACAATATCATTTGTCAGCCAAATGCCATATTGTAGAGTAAAGAGAAAGATAAGTTAATAAGAATGCAATCACTCTCCTGAAAATGCTGAAGTTTATCTGACGACTTCGATATCCCTTTCCCCTTCTACAGTTTATCTGACGATTTCGATCTCCCTTTCCCCTTCTACACAAGCATTATAAGAGTAGGTATCTCCAACATAAAAGGAACGTTTGTATCGCCTTCACCTTATCAGGATCGATATGTATACCCTTAGTGGTGACGACGAATCCAAGGAATTTTCCTTCGGACATTCCAAGGAAGGATTTAGTGGGGTTCATCTTCAATTGATGACTTCGCATGAGATCAAACATCGTCTTCAAGTCCTTGATGTGATCTTCTTTGTTGCGGCTTTTTACAACCAAACCATCAACGTAGCATTCGACTGTTTTCCTGAGATGTTCTTAGAAAATCTTAGTCATTGCTCGCTGGTACGTGGCGCCTGCATTCCCCTTCTACACAAGCATTATAAGAGTAGGTATCTCCAACATAAAAGGAACGTTTGTAAAAAAATATAAACTGCAAATAAATGATGTCAAAAGGGAGAAATTGGAAGAATTTTCTGAACCAAGTTGTTAGTCAATCTAACTATTTAACTACATCATAAAACCTTTTTACATTATTAAATTCATTTGTTTAAGAAAATAAACAAATTAATTGAGAGAATGTGCTTCTTAAAAAAATGCCACCTTTTATTTATATGAACCTATGTGTACAAGCTTTCCTTTCTATAAGGATTCATTACCCTTTCTTTTTGGATGTAAAATATCAGCAAAAAGATTCCAAAAGAGATCTCATTACCCTTTCTTTTTGGATGTAAAATATCAGCAAAAAGATTCCAAAAGAGATCTAATAGTAACACCGGAGTTAAATAAATTTTAAGATAATTCCAAAAGAGATCTAATAGTAACACCGGAGTTAAATAAATTTTAAGATATTGATAGAAAATTTTAGCTTGTCAAAATAATTCCATTGAGAAAAAACTTTTCCATGAACAGCCTTAAAGTTCTAAATTTGTCAATAAATACCTGATAAGTTCTCAAGAATTTGAAGGCCTTCAAGCGACTAACAGTCCATGGTGCATTTCAACAGAACCTAGAGTGAAATTCAGAACCTCTTTTAAAGGAATCAACGTCTCCAATTACTTTTCCAAATTCATCACTTTTCATGGCTCATTAATGCTTACTGGCATTATAGGTCCATATATGAACAACATATTGGCGACAGTTTGGAGATGATGATCTCAGATATATGTTGTACCAGTTAATAGCATTAGTCTTTTGAATTGTTCTTATCTCCTCTACTTTCAATTTTAAAGCTTAACCAGTGGTGCAATATGGTGCGTTGGGAATTTAGTCTCCCCACTACTTTCATTAGATAATAGTTATATTTTATCATACCTTTTTTGCACGCTTGAGGCTTATGATGTTTTAGCAGATCTGAATAGGATTCAAAGAACTTTAGAAAAGGGCTATTAAGACAAAACATTTCAATAATAAAGAGACATAAACCCTTCAAAGCTTCAACTGCTTATTTGATCAGACTATGTACCTTGGTTTCATTGACTACCCAAGTCTTTAAGGTTAAGAAAAACACTGTTATTTTATAGTTATAAAATAAATTCAGTACCTTGAACAACCACCTGAAAGTATGACTCAATAAATGCCAAATGTTCTCGTCAAAGAAGTTAGATTGATGGTAGCGTGTGAGAGGTATTTTGCATATAACCAGGTAATATTACAAAGACAAAATAACTAAATCGTATATTCTAAAGTCCAATGAATAAAATCCATCAGGGGTTAATAGAAGTGGTCAAAGCAGTAAATGAAGTCACAACACTCATGTAGACCATAGCACACAATCTGAAAGGAATGCACGAGCCATGCACGTGGTAAAATTTTTAGATTTATTTTAAGTTGATAATTTTATTTAGAGAATGTTGTTGTAAAAATTTATTGAATGTAAACGATGGAGCAAACATATGGACAGAAGCTAAAAATTCACAATGTTTGAATAATAAAATTATATTTAGGGATCAATTGGCAATAGTACAGTGGGTGCATCCTCAACAATAGAAAACAAACTATGATATACAAGCCAAAATAACACTTCATTTATTCGTCAATAATATACATTACTCTACTAAATAAATATGGAAAACAAGTATCATTCAGGCTACAACTAGAATCAAATCATGCAATGATATAGGATGATAATATTTAGACATTTGGATGAGATAAATAATGAATGTGTATTAACAACTATCTTAACTTGAAAGCATAACAATCCTTAGCAGACCAACAACAATAATATTTTCAACTATCTTCCTCAATTGAGAGCGCTAGGCCAAAGTTAGAATTGCTAAAAGCAAAGAAATGTAAGTCAATTCTGAAGCAAATTACAAAATAACTAAATATTATCAATTATCCTTCTCAATTGAGAGCGCTAGGCCAAAGTTACAAATGCTAAGTTGGATGTTGGTTTTTAGATTTTTAATTTCTTTAAAATTGTGTAATTTTTATTACATTGTGTAGATTTTTTTTTGTTCTGAGTTATGTTTGAATTAAAAAATTATAAGGAATTTTACATGATACACTCAACAAAACAAATATGTCCAACAAATGGTATTAAAGTGAAAAAAATA